ATATAGATCATAGTTTTTTGCTATCTAATAGTGATGAATTCTCCGTTGATCATTCACAATATTTATATAATTCTTGACATGCTAGAACGATACTGTATTAACGATTCTTGACAATGACATTCAACATTAGTAAAGCAAAATTTTCCCCATATAAGGCGCTTTGATGAACTCAAGTCAAATAACTAATTCCACTACCGAACGTTAGAAATTAATAGTTATCCATGTGAAATTTGTACCGATCTCCAATATTTTGTTCTATAACAAAATATTCTCACGTTCATTTAAGTGTCAACATACTTGTTTGTGAGAACGGCTACTTACTTCACAAGTAAGAATGTTACACATGATGGTTTGTCCATAATGAAGATATCCGTATCTCGTTATTACTTACGACTACGGATGATTTAAGATTCAATTATATGTAATGTGTATTTCACAATTAAAATTCCTTGTGATTAACAAGTTACTAAAACTTGAACCTACGGACTCTACTATTTAGTAAGTCAAAAAATTAATAGATCTTGTCATAAATAAAATACATCAATTATTTATTAAATGTATTTATATTCAAAATCGATTGACCTATAACATAATACTTACACTAATATGGGGTGGACCATTCATGAATCTAGATCGTCATGCAAATTACTGATTGTAACTATTCTTTATTTTGGCATTCAATAATTCAAGGCAGATCATGTTACTGATAAATGAGGTGTCTCTATAGTAAATGTACTATTGGTTTTGTCCTTTGAATTGGGAGGTGTCTTTACTCCTACCATACACTGCAATTTTAGTTCCTTGTATGTTCTAATGGAAGTGTTTCATTCTCCGACAAGTTGCATGAAGCGGAGAAACATAATTTGTATAGCGGATTTATACAATCTTTTTGTTTATTCATATGTTAAAAGTTTCCAATATCGTATAGACATTAGTTCTACATCAAGTTTTCTTGTTTATTCGTAGTCACTTTTTTGTCAAAGTCATGATAATTGAAATTTTTGTAATTAGTACTTTTTTCGTCTAGAAGCTTCATTTAGATGTGATAATCACGCATTTATATATTTATCCTTTGCATTCTAATGATGTAGTTGCAAGTTATAACCATGTTACCTTGGGATGTCATAGTTTGAAGTTTGATCCTTGTTAAAAATATTGTTTGACACCAATTTTTTAGTAGAATAGGTTTTATAATAGTGATTTTTGGAAGACTATGTGGTTAAAAAAGTATGAAATTTTTTTGAGGTTTAAGTGTAAATTGTTTTATTGAAAGAATGTATGGTTGAATAAGAGTTTGAGAAAAAAATAAGGGTATTTTCTCTTTACCATTTTCAAGCTGTTTTCTGTTTTCGATTTATCAAAACAGTGAAAACGCATTCTCTTTCTCATTTTCAAAAACATTTTTTTTGAAAACAAGTTAAAAATTTACAAAGAAAATCCAAAACGTCGTTTTGGGTGTTTTCAGTTATAATCTAATCAAAAAATTTCAAAATACGTTTTGGGTGTTTTCAAAACAATTTTTCAAAATACCAAAAAGAACACATTTTCAACAATCTCAAAATGGACACTTAAAACACAAAATTCAAAACTCAAAATACAGAACTCAAAAACAAAGAGAACAACCCCTAAACTTTTGCAGAATGGAGCTCAAATAAGGGCCTTGACGAACTAGTCAAGAATTAATTTGCATTAAGGGATCAAAACCCGTAGATCAATTCTCTGGTTACAACTTGATCATTCATCATCTTAGGTAATTAAAAGCATAGCTTGGTCAATCAATGATTAATGCATGTCAAGTCCGTCTCGAGAAAGACATACATTGGCCAATAAATATGTCTACATTTTTAAGTTCAAAATTTACTATCTCGAACGTGAATGCAACTTTTCCAAATCATCTAGATTACGTGTCATGTCATGTATTATCATTTTCAATCAAGCTATTTGTATAAAGTTGAGTTACAAAAGTTGGGTTACAAAGTGTGTTGGGAAAATTCAGATCGTTGATTTCAAAT